GTATGGATCACTTGGGTTGTTACCGACATCTGGTGAAAATTTCATGTCATTAGCACCTCTAGTAATATATTCACTGAGAAAAATGATGACGTGTTCAATACTTATTTTACCCGCTGTATATTTACAGTGTATGTACACACTTTACAGTATGAATGAAGTTCTTAATTTGACATTCTGAAGCATCGGCCATTTTTTTTAAATATTCAGAACGTAATTATTTGCTGTACATCTACAACTGATTGACTTTTTAAAGTGGCCCTCCCAGCTGATCGACCTTGTTCAATACAAAAATATCTATTACTGAATTTTACAGATTTTGATGTAGAATTTGAAGTGTTAGTAGCTGAGTATTAATCAAACATTGAGCGTGACATCTCCTAAAATCACACCTTTAGTCTGGCGGCAGGTGATATGTGGTCTTTCAGCAACGACTTTTTTTTTTTGCTGTTTCCAGCAAACCAGTTTTTGTTAATAAATAATACCCAGCAAACTGTGTGTATAAGCTGCTAACATTAGTTATCTTTTTATTTTCTTGTTGAATGAGTTTTTCCGATTCTCCCTTTGCTGTTTCTTCATCACCGGTGCAGGCAAAAACACTAAACTTAATTTAAAAAGCATTCACAGTTTTACAGATCTGTCTCCTGCGTGTGACCCGTTTAAATATTTCCATATTCATAAAAACAATGAACAAATGGAAAACATCACCGGGGTTCTGCTCCTTTTCAAGTGTCTTTGAACCACGGTGTGATATCCTGTGTGTATGTGTGTGTTGGCAGGTGGACAGCGACACCATTTGGAACGAGATCCATTCGTCCACGGCTGCTCGTCTGGCCGTCGGCTCCGTGGTGGAGCTGGTTTTTAAAGTAGCATCAGGAGAGCTGAAGGTTGGTTTTAACGATCTGTTGAGATCATTTAGTCAATCTGGGATATGTTTTTAACAAAATGACAACACATTTTATGTTTTGGTACATGAATATTGTCTCTTTATTATTTTTAAAGGCTTTACTGCCTCTGTACTTTCAAACAGTGTAATTCTAGCTGAAATAAGTAAGTCTACATGTGTCAGTTTATTTTTTTATAGTTTTTAAAACAGTAAAGGTCATTTCATTTAAGATGCTTTTTTTTAAGTTTACAAGATTCTCTTGAATGCACCATAAACTCTCGCAGGCCGCGACCTACAGGGTGATTCATTTTACAAATATTTACTGTCCAATTAAAGCATTTGTTGCTTGTAGATGGCTGAATTTACAAGCTTCAAAAGTATCTTGTAAAAATATTTAGGTATTTCAGAGTCACAGTCATACTGTGTCAAAGTTAATGTGCCTTTTTTTTAAGATTTCAGCTTCATTTTTTTTTTTTATTTTACTTTATTTTTTTGTAAAATGGCTCTGAGAACAAGAATTTATGTGCACAGTTCAGAGCCTGAGGCTTCAGGTTCTTTGTAGACAGAACAGCAGAAAGGAAAATGTTTTGGCTTATAGTTTGTCCACCACATCACTCAGTTTTACAGTAGTAGATGGAAGTCCCAAATTAGCAAAAATGAAAATAAATCGCAGTTCAGTCACCTGGTTGTTTAAAAAACAAGTTGAAAAAGCTTTTCAGGAGAAATATTTCTTGCTAATTAGACAGTTTTGTATATATATACATATATAAGATAAGATAAGATAAGATAAGATAAAACTTTATTGATCCCACAGTGGGGAAATTAGCACATTATAATAGCTCAAAACAGGACAGGGTGAGATAGAATAAAGAAAGATAAGTAAAAGAAAAACACCCCCCCCCCCACTATACTCGTGATATATAACAATGTACATATACCTAGTATATTACATAAATGAATATACTGTATATGCATTATACATAGGTGCATATTACTGAGGCCAGTGTAGGTGAATTGTCCAAGTGACTGATAACATCATGATGTGTTATACAGTCTAACTGCAGTTGGAATGAATGACCTACGGAAGCACACACACACACACACACACACACATATATATATATATAGTAGGGGTGCAACGATACAGAAAATTCACGATTCGGTTCGGTTCAATACTTCAGTCTCACGGTTCGATATTTTTTCGCTACAAAAAAGACAAATGTCCACGCCCTTTTAACTTGTAATTTATTTAAATTAATTATGAACATTTGTTTAACCTCAAAAATACACTTTTTAAATGAAATGTTGCTGAAACAGTGAGTTTCTCGGGATCTACTCTCGACAGTGCAGCCTAGGCAGAGTAGTCGAACACAGATCCACTGATCCTTCAACACAGAGCATCTTCAGAAGACAAGTTGATAAAATAAATTWAAAAAAATCTGTATTGTTCGATACAGGGGTGTATTGAACCTAAAGCATTGTATTGAAAGGTTCGATACAGGTACATGTATTGTTGCACCCCATATATATGTAAAATTTGAAATGCAACAAAGAAGTCAAACTCGGATAATTTCCTGGTTTGAACTCAGTTTCCTTCTCTCAAACGTTACCTTCATGAACAATCTCAGGTCCAGTGGAAAGGAACGTCCTTTCATCATTTTCTTGTTCCAGAAAATAACCCCACCCACTGATACCTGACCCCCAACCCTTCACCCAGCCTTTGTATGTAGCCGTGGCTGTTTGAACCCAGCAGGGATTCCCGGCGCACAGGCCTTGCAAATGCCAGCAGGCCCCACTAACAGGCCTCCTTTTTTATTAGCCTTACACCACAGCCACCTGCAGAGCAGCCGTCCCACTTAACGTTAACTTACCACCGACGCACCGCAGACTAATGACATTCCTCAAAGTGAGACGGTAGCACACCACGCAGATAGGTTTTTGGTTTAGACTGACATCGTTCCGTCTGTTTTTCTGCTCGTCGGCTTTAACTGAAAGCTAATCTGTGCGACAGCGTTTAAGGTGGTGCAAATCCAAACAACACGTTCAGCTTTACGCAGGTGCACATTCATGGGCAGGCATTCACACTCCCATTTTTTATACGCACAGATGRTCCTCTCAGGATCCTCCACAGCCAAATGACCAAGTTCCACCTGCACCAACAACTCTGTGAACTCCACACATCGTCATAAATCTGCATGAGGAACACACACTCAGATGTACGTTGGGACACAYGCAGCTCTGCTCCCCGTTAGGTTTCTCCCCTGATCCTAATTTGTCATCGTTTTCACTGGGAAACGATCCTCCCCTCTATTTTTATCCTTACACCTACGCTCCCCACAACATGTGTGCACAACAAAACGCAGAGTTCCTCAAGTGGATGCTCTCAAATCAGCCGAGGCAGTCGTCGCTGCAGTAATCTTCTGGCTGGCTGCTAATCCACAGCAGCTGACTCAACATCATTAGTCCAGCTCGCCTCGCTCCGCATCAGCCCGAACATTTATCTAATGTCCCCACAAAGCAGTGGGAGACTCCCAGAGCAGTTACTGGGAGTGCTGCCTTAACTGACCCGACACCAGCATCTGGTTCTGTGCATTGGTACGTGCACGCCGTTCCACCCTCGGAGGAACAGAGCGGTGACATTCTTTGGGATGGCTTCGTACGAAACGTGTTTTTACTGAGAGGCAAGAGCAGACTCTGAGACAAATTCAGATTTAGACTCGAACTTTTAATTGCAAAAGAGTAAAGCCACACAAATGCCTTCAGCTGGGCCAAAATACAGACTTTTGTTTCTTCTCGGAACATTTTGGTAAAGAATCAAAACAAACCAACACATTTTATCCATTTTCTTCCGGATCTGGCTACTCATCAGGGGCAAGACGTCACATCGATTGGGAGGATCTTCTCTACCCGGCGCCAGATTACTTTTACAACAATCTAAAACCTGATGAGTCTGGTGAAAAGCATGCGTTAACTCAGAGTTTCTCAAACTTATTTGGTCTGAGGACCTGGGGTACCAATTTCAAGGGACCCCCTCAGATGACTCATGCTGTTTTAAAAATGATTTCTTGCCATTTTAAACCGTAAACA